CGAGGACGCCAATTGTCCGGTACTTTTTCCATATAGTGAATAGATTCTTTTATCAGTCCACACCCATTCCCACTCACAAGGAAACACCATTTCCCTCGACAATGCGCTGATCCCCTAATCACCGGCCATTTCACGCTCACCGGCCCAAACATAATGATTACAGGTGAAAAAACCACTCGATTTCTCAGTGCGGAAGTTTATTGGCATGTGCAAAAAAGCCCAACGAACACTAGACCCATCGAGTTGTGCAAGCCAAACGCTAAACTGTTGGCGATTATTTGGTAAATCTTATTTTCCACTTAATTTTAACGACACCACAATAAAGTACTTCATTATGCAACTCACGAGGATTCTAATCGCACCACATACTTCCGAATGAAAATGGGAAGGTCAAGTGGGGGTAGTGCGCAGTGAAGAAAGTCGACGGCGTGAGAGTTGTGAGAATTTGATGAAGTCGTTTGAAAGCAATGAGAAAAGAATTCAAATAAAAAATATATCCAATGGACGAGATTGTGGGGAACATCAACCGTAGGTTGTTGAGGAAAGTCCGATTAATTCTCCATTAATTCACCAACAAATGGAGCCTCTCCTCTCCTTCCCCCCTCCCCCGCTGAAGGTCGTGAAAACTCGCATGCAGCTGGGGACCGGAAGGAATAAGAAATATGAAACTAGCTTGAGATTGTCGAGATCTGCAGAGAGACAGCACCAAGAAAGTTCAATCGAGAGTGAAAATTTGCGCTAGCGAAGTGGATAGAGAAAGAGAGAGAGAGGCCGGACGAAACAGCGGACAAAGCCCAGAGGGACTTTTCATTCACCTTGCCTCCTACTATTCTTTTTTAGTCTCGTTATCATCTACTTGACTGTAGCCCGGAGGTAGCTCATTGTCGGTGAGTTAATTGCCGGAAATGCAGAGCACGACAGCTTCACGAATGTCTGTATCCCGATGGTATTAACTCGGAAATTGAATTTACCCTGAACTTTCGTCGATCGGAGGAATAAATCACTTTGTTGGATCCATAATTCATATGGAAAGTACTATGTGTAGAGCATGTACCGGCTTGCACTGAATGTGACGAGAGCGACATTGAATTCGATTTGGGGGAGGGAGAGGGAATCAATGAAGTGGTAAATTTCAACGGAAATTCAGGGGGAATTTCCTCTGCATTTTAGCTCTGCATTTTTTTTTTGCTCAAAATACTGCACTCGTGTTTGGAAATTATTGGTTGTTTTTCTCAAACTGCACGGAGAAGATATAAAATTAATAACTAGTAAGTAAACATAGTAATCGAGGACTATACCGGAAAAACTTTGAAATTTGATTTACTTTAACCGAACGTTTGCGATGTGAAATTCATTGTTCATCACTTAACACAGTAATTGCGTGGACCAAAAAATCATTTTCAAAAGTGTTAAAAGCACTCAATTTTGTACCAATTTTTCCTATTAAAGAACGAGAAATTACCCAAATCGTATGAATTTCTATGTTAAATTGTAATTTTTTCTACGATTTAAAACTTTAGTTTTATAATCTCGGGCCTTCTAGATTTTACTCGAGGAAATGACAGAAATTACTATGTTGACTGCTAAAAACGCCAGTGGACGACGAGAGCATCGATTGTTTTTAAATTCTAACAAATTCAATCTTTCGTGAAGGAAAATTATTGATACTAATTTTCAAGGACGATAAAGAAGATTAAATATGGTTTTTCACTTCGGTCATTCAAAAAATCCCCCTCTCCCTCGTCCTCTTCCTCAAATATTCACCTTGGAACGGGGAAGAGGCAAAATTTTTTTATGCCATTAGGCCCGTTAAACCGCAATTCTAACCTCGCTTCGCTCGGTTAAATCGCGGTTTTCGGGCCCAATAACATAAAATATTCTATGTCACACGGCGATAAAAGTATTATCTGACTCATGTGATTATAAAGTGGTCCCTTTTCATGCGGACGTCCACACGGTTTTATAGGCTCCCCATTCGTTTGCCTTGCCTCTCCCATTTCTCTCTTCTGATTTTTATCTGCGTTAATTGATAAATTTCCGCTGAAAAACCAAGTGAATTCATAATTCACTTCAATTTTCATTCAATTTAAAATTCAAGAATAAATTCTCTTAAGGGATCTTAATCCTCACTCATTACTTCTGAATAGTTGCATTGAAATTAACAGTTTCTATCCTTTTTCTCATCGAATGGTCAACAGCCTACGACGAGAGTTCACTATAAACTCAAGTGAAAATATCTCTTGCTGAAAATTTCAGTGATCCATCCCGGAAATTAAAACAAGAAATTTTGAAGTGTACGTGACTCATTCTCCCTGCCTTCAAGCACTTCTAAATACTTCAGGTCTTTCAAGTCACCAATATATGTGTATTTCACAGCTAAAAGCCTTTCACTATTGAATAAACTCTGAAATATGCGATATGACGATGTAATTTCAGATGAGTAAATGAAAAGTCGACTTAAACCGTTTTACCACTTCGCTACTGATTTAATATAAAATTACGTTGAATTGTGAATTAAATAAAGATTTCAGAATAGATTCACCTGAATTTGCCTCTTTTCTATCGATTTTCATAGAATAATTTAATTAAGATTGAAAGTTTCCATTGATTTTTTCATAAAATTTTGAATTTCCAATGATGAAATTCCTTGAAATTTCAGTGAAACTATGTGATAAAAATTTCGAGAAAGTGTGCCCAACATTTCTCATGACAATTTTTAACATTGCAGGTCTACGAAGCAAAACACGAAATTGATGGAACATTTGAGAAAAGGAAGGCCTATCATGTACATTGGCCGTTCCACTGATTTCACTTGATCCTTCTCTAAGCAACGAGTGACATCAATAAATGACGTTAAATTCAATTTAGGGGTGAAAAAATTCTAAAATCAATCAATCCTAATTTCACATTTCACTTCAGATTGAATAAAATTTCATTTTTTTTCAATCAGAACATGAATGTTCAGTATCAAATTACGCTGGATTGTCAATTAATGGAAAATTCAAGAATATGTTCACCGGAATTTTCCTGGTCGCTGTGAATTTTCATAGAATGATTTAATTGAAATTGAAAGTTTTCATTGATTTTTTCATGAAATTTGAAATTTTCAGTGATGAAATTCCGTGGAATTTCAGTGAAATTATGTGATAAAAATTTCGAAAACGTACACCCAACATTTCACTTGACAACTTTTAACTTTGCAGGTCTACGAAGCAAAACGCGGGAGTAACGGAGCATTTAAGAAAAGGAAGGCCTGTTCTGCACATTGACCCTCCCACTGTTTTCAGTTAACCCTTCTCTAAGCAACGAGTAACATCGAAGTAACATTGATTTAATTTAGGGGTGAAAAAATCCTGGAATTTCAGATTTAACTGAAAATTGAATCAAGTTCTATTTAAAAAAAAAAACATGAATGTTTAGGATTAAATTACACTGAATTGTCAATTAATTGAAAATTCGAGAATAGATTCACCTAAATTTTTCTGGTTTCTATCAATTTTCATAGAATAATTTAACTGCAAATTGAACGTTTTGATCGATTTTTTCATAAAATTTTGAATTTTCAATGATGAAACTCAATTTAGGGGTAAAAAAATCATGAAATTTCAAATTTCACCAAAAATTGAATTAAATTCTATTTTTTTAAAATCAAAACATGAATGTTTCGTATCAAATTATTCTGAATTCCTTGAAATTTCAGTGGAACTGTAATAAAACTGTAATCAAAAATTCAAGAAAATGTCCCGGAGATTTCGTTCGACAATTTTTAACTGTCCAACCAAAACGCATTCATGAAACGAAATTCATTCAAACATTTGAGAAAGAGAGGAATGATTAGTATTAAAGTACCTTGAAATGCTTGAAATTTCAGTGGATCTATAATAAAAAATTGAGAAAAATGTTCCAGAAATTCCCTCCGACAATTTTCAACTCTACAAATCTACAAACCAAAACGGGAAATTCACAAAAAATTTGAGAAAGTGAGGCACATCGTGCACATTAACTCATCAACTATTTTCACTTGACTCTTCTCTAAGCAACGAGTAACGTTAAATTGAACTTAGATGTAAAAAAAATTCAGATTTCGCTGAAAACCGAATATAATTCCAATTTATGTTCAATCAAAACATGAATGTTTATTATTAAATTACACTGAAATCTTTAAAATTCCAGTGAATTTATAATAAAAAAATCGAGAAAAATATCCCAGAAATTCCCCTCGACAATTTTCAACTGTACAAATCTACAAACCAAAACGCGAAATTCACGAAACATTTGAGAAAGAGAGGCACATCCCGCACACTGACCCACCAACAGTTTTCACCTGACCTAAGCAGCGAGTAACACCATAAAAATTGGTGATCACCCATAAAATTATCACCCCAATCTCGTCAATTTGCATCGAGCGATAAAAACACGTGAATTTATATCCCACTAAATCCGACATGATGTTCCAAAAGCATTAGTAAAAGAGGGAAAAGTCATTGTGAGTAATTTCGATAAAGAGTCACCAGCATTTCTTCCCTCGGCTCTCCACCCGGGGCCATAAACGACTCAATAAACCCAGAAACACGTACACCATTTAATTTTGGCAGTCCATTTCCCGATAAAACCTCTAATATATATCGACACATATCAATACGTACAAATGGATCAGCGCCTGCTGGTATATTACGCGGCTCTACGCCTACGTGGAGAAAGCGCAGTCGCGTGCTTCATTATAACCCCGGGGTATGTAACCTGCCTCCGTACATCAAATCACATTAATATATGTAACAACGAGATCTTCACTATCTCGACGTCAAAAAAATACGGAATCGCGGTAAACACGGTACCTCCGGCAATTGACGAGTGAAAATTCAAGTGATAAGCAAGAAGACAAGTGTTCAATGCTCAGAATTCCACTCAGGAGAGCACACTTTCTAATGGCATATTTAATTACAATGATATTAACAGTTTAGTATTGACGGACGAGTCATAGCTCTCGCTTTTCAACTCACATTTTCGATGTTTTGCATGTCACAGCCGCTTTGGATCCTCTACCGGTCCATGGCACTCAGTCATATACAATAAAACCGAATGCGAACAATGAAGACTACTTCGCTTCCGGTCAAGACACGTAGAAAGGCGATAGCAGCGAGCTAACTGCGCTGAGAAATTGTTCACAACTGCTAATCACTGGATAATTAACATGCTGTACAAGTCGTAAAGTCGACGGATACTCGGGCTTTTGGTGGAATGAGGAATTGACGAAGTGAAGGTATAGCGCGGTGAGAGGCTTGTGCTCAACTGAGGTGCACAGGAGGATTCGCGCTAAGTCCTGAGACATTTGTATCCACCACCATTTAGCTCTAGGTGTGCACGGGTGTGGGTCGCTGTCCACAGAAGTTCCCCACTAATTGTCGGCCTCTGGTAATCACGCCATTACTCTTTGCTCTGGGTGTTTAATGGTTTTTTCTCGCACATCGCTGTTAATTTATTGGGAATACGGGGGTTTATTGAGAGTACGGATGAATGAGAGTGCATTTTTCGGCCGAGAATTTCTTTCACCCCGAAATATATCGCTCATTCGATATTTATGGTAATTTCTATGCTGGCATTCCATGCGGGCTTTTCACTGCAACTTTCCACTTGGAAAATTCTCGATGCTGGGTGGACGGAGAACCCGTTAGGATCTGGCTCTCTAGGTCATCAGTCTAACAGTATTCGTCTTCTAATCGAATGACTTTGTCGTTGGTAAACAGGAGGTTGACTCTGTTTGCTTTCCTTCGGTTTGCTTTTTACTGGTTTTACTTTTATTGGAAATGCAAAATACTTTCGGAGAAGCGCTCAGGTGTGTTGCTCCTTTACGTGGATTCTTTGCTTTCTCAGTGAGGATTGATGAGTATGACAGGAATAATGAACATTCGGTTTACGGTGCGAGCATATGTTCATGAGGTCCGTTCACGTGGACTTCCGCGGTATTGGGGAATTTTTACAGACATTGTTAGAAATTTTTTGAAATTTCTTGGAAGATGTAATAAATTGCATGAGAATGACATGGAATCAGATTTAGGGAAGAAATGATTATAAAATTTCAAGTTTTAAATAGAATTCATCTAATTAAGGGGAATTGATAATTTTTGAGTGCAGCAGAATGAGTATTCGCCAACTTACTCGAATTTGCATTCAAAACATGAATATTCAGTGCCAAAATGCGTTAAGTTTTTGAATACTTGAACTGAAATTTATAGTTCTCATTGATTTTTTTGTTTTTCTTTTGTTTTATTCTTCATTAGGTTTTACTTTTATTGGAAATGCAAAATATTTTCGGAGAAGCGCTCAGGTGTGTTGCTCCTTTACGTGGATTCTTTGCTTTCTCAGTGAGGATTGATGAGTATGACAGGAATAATGAACATTCGGTTTACGGTGCGAGCATATGTTCATGAGGTCCGTTCACGTGGACTTCCGCGGTATTGGGGAATTTTTACAGACATTGTTAGAAATTTTTTGAAATTTCTTGGAAGATGTTGTAATAAATTGCATGAGAATGACATGGAATCAGATTTAGGGAAGAAATGAGTATAAAATTTCAAGTTTTAAATAGAATTCACCTAATTAAGGGGAATTGATAATTTTTGAGAGCAGCAGACTGAGTGTTCGCCAACTTACTCGAATTTGCATTCAAAACATGAATATTCAGTACCAGAATGCGCTAAATTTTCGAGTGATTAAATATCCAAGAGTATATTTACCGAAATATTTCTGATTTCTATTTATTTTCATGGACTAATTGAACTGAAATTTACAGTTTTCATCGGTTTTTTTTGTTTTTCTTTTGCCTTATTCTTTATAGGTTTTACTTTTATTGGAAATGCAAAATACTTTCAGATAAGCGTTTAAGTATGTGGCTCTTTTACATGAATTCTTTGCTTTCTCAATAAAGATTGATAGTGATGGCGAGAATAATAAAAATTCGGTATACAATGGGAGCCTATATTCACGAGGTCTGTTCACGCGGACTTCCGCAGCGTTGGCGAATTTTTACACAATCAACACTCCGTTGGTCGCGCAATGACCGCCGCACCGCACTTTTTCCGATTTTTCAAGTTACACTGCACTAGAGCCTCAGAAAAATTTGAAAAAAATTTTATATCTCATTTTGAAGTGCCCTATCAATGAAAATATCGGTAAATGTTAAGAAAGAGAGCCCTACCACCGAATCGATAGTGTAGTTTTCAGAAAGATCGGTGGTGGGGTCCTCTTTCTTAACATTTACCAAAATATCCGCCAAAAATATCATAAGTAGTTAGATTTTCAAATTGTTATTCTGAAACTCCGGACCGTATACCGCGTATAAGGCAAATTGTCATAAAAGCCTGGCTACGTTGAGCTTGAATATTTAAATATTCATCTGAAAACATGAACACATCTGTTTGGTGTTAATTACGGGTAACACCAAACATAAAAAATCTCACAGGACTTCTTCAAGTATATGATCTAGATCACTCTTAATTTTTTTCAGATTTTTCCTAGATCTTTCAAATTTATCATTATGTCGATTTATGCTTGCGCGGCACGGCGCTTACGGCGCGACCAACGGCGTTCGTAACTTTTGCGCGACCAACGGAGTGTTAAA